CCGCGGCGCCCTCGGGGAGAGGCTGAGCCCAGCCTCAGCCCGCGGTGCTCGGTCAATTTCAGGGCCCCGCCACCGCGCCCCGCGGGTCACAGGGAACGGCCAATCCCGGGCCGATTTCACGCTGCCGCTGGGCGAGCAGCTGAGACCGGCACTGGGTAAAAGGGCTTTATAAGACACATTAACCAAGAGACCATGGCTGCTCCTTTCCAGTAACCAGAGGGCGCTTCCGACTCAGGAATCCACCAGCAGGAGCCGACTGGAGACAGACTCTCCCAGGCAGGGTGCAGACACATCACCTTGCGAGGAATCTAAGCAACAGCCGGTGACCTGCCTGTGGGCAGCAAGGGCCCTGCAAGTCCTCTGGCCCCCGGAAGGCTGTCAAGACCAGCGAACCAGAAAGGCGCATCTGAGGGAGACTATGGGGACCCACGAAAGGGGAGCAGAGCACAGAGATGTGGAAGGGGGTGGGCAGCCCAGGGAAGAGGAGCAGCAGCTGAAGGCTAACGGGGCAGGTGGTAGAAAGCAGTACGGAGAGTAAGCGAGCGAGCAAGAGGAAAACCGGCCCCGAGAAGGGCGCAGGGAAACAGGCCGACCTGTCTGGAGGGAAAGCAACTCGCACCCTCCCCCGTTAAAGGCGTTCGAATCTGCGGCACCGAGAAGTCCAGGTAAGACCCACACCCACAGGGCACAGCTGTGCGCGGCTAGCGTCCCAGGGAGCAGCCGCCTGGCTTTTCCCACCGCGGCGAGCAAGAGGAAAACCGGCCCCGAGAAGGGCGCAGGGAAACAGGCCGACCTGTCTGGAGGGAAAGCAACTCGCACCCTCCCCCGTTAAAGGCGTTCGAATCTGCGGCACCGAGAAGTCCAGGTAAGACCCACACCCACAGGGCACAGCTGTGCGCGGCTAGCGTCCCAGGGAGCAGCCGCCTGGCTTTTCCCACCGCGGCCGGCAACTCTCCCAGACCCTGATCCAACTGTCTGCGCTGTCATCGGTCACAGGCACTGGGGCAGGACGAAGGGGACTGCAGCTGGCAGAGCATTTCGGAGAGAAAAGCCCACAGGGAACCGGTCCAGAGCTCTCTGCCTTCAGACCCACGTGGGCCCCCCTCGTTGGCCAGGGAAAGCGCCCAAGTCGCTGCACGGGACAGCGGTGGGTTCCCAGCGCCGGGCTGCTTACCTGCACGCTCTTGTGGGCTATTTCTCCAGGGGTCGGCCAGTTCGTGGCATCACCGAAGTCGCCGACCTTCATTCAAGCACAAAACAGAGAGCGGGTCAGTGCAGCGAGCTCAAGCCCTGGCTCGTCCAACAGGCCCGTCTCCCCCTCCCCTGCCAGAGCACACGGCCCCAGCTGGGGACCGGACCGGCCGCCCCCTCCCCAGATGCTTCCGAGAAAGCGACAAGAAACATCTCTGGTGGAGCAACAAGCCCGAGGGGGAGACTGCTGCCTACACAGCATCGCGGAGCTGGAAGAGACCTCACCGAGTCCAGCCCCCCCCCGGGATCAGAGTGGGCTTCGTGCCCTGAAGCCTTGGGGCTTCCGATTCTTAGAACCCCGTCTCAGAACCGTGGCTCGTGCTGATCCACAGAATCCCTCTTCAACCCTATTTCGCTTGATCTCGACCTCCTGGGCAGCGAGCTGCAAGGGCCACGTAGCCACGCCCTGGCCGAGGCTTTGACAGGCGCTGCCTTGGGGGCGGAGGATGGCCCCTTATTCTTGCAAGCCAGACTCACGCCGGGCAGGCCGCGGTGCCTTCCTGCTTCCCGCTGGTGGAGGAGCCTGGCGC